CTATCTATCCATTTGGCTGGCTATCTATCTATCTATCTATCTATCTATCTATCTATCTATCTATCTATCTATCTATCTATCTATCCATCTATCTGTCTATCTATCTATCTAAAGACAGGGTCTCTATACAGCGCTGGCTGTCCTAGAACTCACTATGTAGACCAGGCTAGCACCAAACTCACACAGACCCACCTGCCCAGGCTTTGCTTCCTTTCAAAAAAGAACAAAAACAAAAACAACAAAACATAAGAACATAGCATTCATGGTGAGACTCTGTTTCAAAAATAAATGAGTAAATATTTTACTAGTTTTACAGTGCTGGGAAGGAAACCTAAGGCCCTGCACATGCTAGTTAAGCACTCTACCACTGAGCCACCCTCCCCCAGCCTCCTCTTTTGTTTTTCAGACAAGTCTTGCTATGCAGGCAGGATAGCTTCAAACTCCGGACAAGCCTCCTGCCTCAGCCTCCCAAGTGCTGGGATTGCAGATACATGACACCTCTCCCTCGTGATCACAGATATTTTCCCATTAAATACAACTGCTACAGTTGGTGGTTTGACCGTGATTGCATGTGATTTCTTCTTGCGTTTTCTGTATTGCTTTATAATGAGTGCTCACACTGGGAAGACAGAGAAGACTCTCTGGCAAAAGATTACATTGATTAGAGGGCCTCTGTAGGAAGACTTGGTGTGTGTCAGAATCACACACCAGTGGAAAATGATACCCATCGGTGGACTTGCAAGTGACAGAAGATCCGTCTTGTCAGAGAGAAGATATCACCAACCCGTGCATAACATCCACGGCGAAGCAGAAAGCTATGATGCCTTGCAAAGGCTAATTATAAACAGGTGGTGGCTGGGGCCAAACTCCAGGAATCACAAACGCATTCTGTTCAGTTCATTAATGCTTCTATTCAACTCCAGGAAAAATGCGCATTCCATAGCATTACAGGAGTTTCGGGTTGGCTGATAAAAAACAGGTGATTTCCAACCCCCAGCCCCTAACTGCCTCACTGACGGGGGATAAAATAAAACAGCATAATTGCCCTTCCTGTGTGGCAGGACCTCTCGTGGCGTCACAGGTGGAAGCTGCTGGAGCCGTCATGGCAAGATCTTCATCCAGAGACCACGCCAGTGAGAAAGACTGGCCATGCAGCCTCAGCTAGTGAGGTCTCCGCACAGCCAGGTCGAACCCAAGTTCCGAGGTCTGTTTGCATTTTCTAATACGAAGTGCAGCTGATCTGTTCAATTCCATCTGGGTGTCGGGCTGCTTCATTGGAGGGCTCTTCAATTTCACATTTCATCTCAGCAACTAATGTCCACATCTTGTCAAATTGCCACCAAGAAGGCACCTCGGGGCTGCCCTGGACAAAACTGAGATGTTCTGTGGGAACTTGCGATTTGAGGGTTCAGTGACTACGAAGCGACCAAATGATCTGCCCCACAGTGACACAGGAAAGAGGGAGCACACACTCCTGGAAGGACATGTTATTTTCTCTTTCACAACCATCGTCATGCTCAACTTTTCCAGCCAAGCTCCTGGCTGCAAATTCAAAATATCCTTTTTTTTTTTTTTTTTAAATGCCTTTCAACACTAGTAGAACTTATGACTCTGAAATCTTGGAATATTCACGGAAAGCGCTGAGTTTGTGTCCTGCTGGTTTTTTCTTTGTATCTTTTATTTGTTTTGTGTTTTGAGGCAGTCCAGGCTGGCGTCTCAAACTCACAGCAGTCCTCTAGCCTTCGGACCTTGGCTTCTTGAGCATTGGCATTACGGAGGTGTGCACCAGCACCCCGACTGTGCACAGGTGTGCACCAGCACCCTAGCTGTGCACAGGTGTGCACCAACAACACCCCGACTGTGCACAGGTGTGCACCAGC